CAATTTACGGTTTACAAAAGGAACGCGAAATATCTCTTTTGTATATTTTCCGCTCTTTCCGTGTCTTTCGGATCAAATATTGTTCAGAAATGATTATGTGTGATATACTAATGAAGGTGAAGGGAGAGGGGGAGGGGGAGAGACGCCTAGTGTAAGCAACTTTCAATGTGCGGATCTTTACTAACGCATACTATCGGAAAGTCTCAACACAGTACTTGCAATGTCGTACTAGTAGTAGCAGTGACGGTATACCTACGAGCGATGTTGATCTCAAGTGGATGAATCTACTCGCGCAAAAGTATTTACTCGACCTTCGTGGGCGAATTGCAACGCCGCGAGCATTCGGCTCGAGTCAGCGCGACACATTTAATAAACGACGATCCCGCGGGTTTCTCTCTCTCTCTCTTTCTCTCTCTTCGATGCATCGACAGCATCAGTTCGAGACATCCAGGGCTTACGCGCCGCGTAATAGATTTCGGATATAATTATTCCGGATATAAAGCGCGTTAATAATCTCTCTAGACGACACACAAAGAGAGATAGAACGGGGAAAGGTATAACGGGGTTAAGCGTCCTACCTGTGGATCGTGACAGTCCCACTCTCCGGAAAAACCGGAACCTCTAAAAGTTCTCCAAATGGCACGTGATTGTTGTGTTCGCGGCAGACCAATCTTCTCAAAATACCACGCTCCTCGCTTTCCTTGACGGGACGTTGTCGCCTCCTGGCACCACCACCACCGCCGCCGTTGTTGTCTGCCGCATCATTGCCATCTCTGCTGCTGCCACTCTCAGAGGCATGGTGGATCGAGGGTCGCTGCATGTCTTATAGACGCGACTGTCGGAGCAGCTGTACGAGTCGCGTCGAGCTACCGACGCAAAGTGCGTTGTTAATGTGCGGCGGAATTCTCTCCGCGATGGCGGGTGGGAGCGCGGGGAGGGGGGATATGTGTGGGCGATGCGTCGGATCGCTCGTTCGATTTTGCGCGCGTATCAGGGAACAGAGCCCGCGACCGCGACGGCTCGCGCGCGCGCGCGCGCCCCTCTCGCGGTATGACACCTGAAAAAGCGTAATCGCGATACCGGATCGCCGAAACTGCGCCTGCGTACAGCCCGAGACTCCGTCTTTCTCTCTCTCTCTCTCTCTCTCTCTCTCTCTCTCTCTTTTCCTGCGGTCACGCACGGCTTAACGTTCGACTATCGCCCTCTATCACGGCGACGTGATTCTTGCGATTCATCGTGCCGCTCTGTTGGTAAGGTAGGCTACGCAGGCATTACCGACTTGGCATGAAGGCAGTGCCTTCAAAGCACTCGGTAATGAGCGAGAGTATGTATGTACGTGTGATTCGTCGTCGCGGACGCGTTACCTATCACGTATTCTGATTTGCCAGTTAACCTCAGATGTCAACTTTACAAGTGTGTGACGCTGGCTCGACGTCTATTTCAGATCACTCGTGTCTCCATTGACTTTCAGCGGTTATTATTCCTCATTGCAGGATACGCGCGATTCGAAGCCGCGCTTTGTTCAAAGCCGCAATATTATCCTACAAATTTTTTCTTTTTAAGTTGCATCCCAAAAGGTTCTTTTTTAGGAAAATTTTACTCGATACCTATAGTTCACGTTACATATACTACAGAGTATCGAGTAAAATTTCCTCAAAAAGGATGTTTTGGAACGCAATCTTAGATGGTGTATCATCCATGTGAAATGCGGAAGATTTAGGACGAAAAATAGTTAAAGCAGAAGTTTGATATGTTTGGACAAGTACAAATAATATATCATAGAGCCATTTTATTCCACGGAAGAAGAAAGGTGGGACTGAAGACACAGTTATTTTCACACTGTTAGAAAAAAGAAGAAAAGAAACCCGGACCGTTGAAATTTCTCATACGAGAAGAGAGGCGATGAAGACACAATGCCGCGAGGCAAGTTAAAGCAAATATTTAATTTATTAGTGAATTTACGCAATCATAAAATATATCCATGTAACGATCAACAAGAGATATAACATCGATAGAGCTCGGCGTTGGCGGCGGACGTGACGACAATTAACGGGAAGTGAAGTCGGACGTAATCGGTACGGGCGATCGCGGACACCCCCCCGACAAGGTAAGTCACGTGGCTTCCTCGCGCACCTTGTTAACCGGGTCTCGCCATCGTTTCTCTTTCTTCCTCCCGCTCTCGTGACGAAAAGCACGATGCCTCGGAAAGAAGAAAGAAACAGTACATTACTCTCTCGCATTCTCTCTCTCTCTCTCTCTCTCTCTCTCTCTCTCTCTCTCTCTCTCTCATCATTTTATATAAAAATAGAATCCACGGTGCGCACAGCGGTATACTGACATCGTCGAACGTCAAACAATAGCCGCGAAAGGAAGAAAGAAAGGGGGAAACTCAAGACGGAAAGAACTCAAAAAGGGATTATGGGTCTCGAAATAAAACGTCAGCATGCGGAACGTTGCGGTCATGTAATATTCGTCGTATTTCGACTACAATAGTCGCACCGGATCTACGTGTGGGTGGTGTATGTGTCAACGCGAGAACTCGTCCGATACAACGATGGAGGGAAAACTTCTCTCTAAATCACCTCCGACTCTGTGGTTTATTGCGTCGAATCGATTGATCGGTTAATCGCGATTGGGTTATGTGGATTCACACAGGAGAGAACGGGACTCGTTGTGTTCCGTCTGCGTGGTAGACCGTGGTCTCTTTCACCCTCTAGACTCGGTCCTCTCTCGCGTCTGTGGATGCACTCGATTCATTCGAATTGGAAGTCGAGAATGTCTGAATTATGAAACGTAAAAGTAAAGTAAGTGCAGTCGCGTGGAATAATGACAGCGCATTGAATAGACACGAAACTATATTAATTTCAATATTGCTAATCGGAATACATGATATAAGTCACGTCAATTCGTCATTGTACTTCAACGCACAATACTGCGAGCGACAATCCTTGGATAATTTAGAACTCCGATTGATATCGTTACATTACCGGGATAAAATAATAATAATAATAATAATAATGATAAAGAAGAAAAGTCCGAATGGTCGAGCTAACAGTCCCTTACAGTCCGGACAATCGTACTCTCCATCACTTGCGGCACGCAAATGTGTATATAGCTGTAGAGCCCATTAGGGAAATTGCAATTAGCAACCGGCCTCGCTCTCTCCTCTGCGTACACGTGTGCACGCGCGTACGCATCGGTGTTTCACGAGCAGCGTCGTCGTCGTTGTCGTCGTCGTCTGTGTCGTCTCTGTCGCAGTCTTCCCGTCCCAGCTATTTGACGATGGGACCATCCGCGGTGACTGTTTGACTGGCTGCGCGATCAACCGCGTCGCAATGTGACTACTCATACATGATATGACCCGCATTACCGTAGTACGACGATCGAATTACGTATGTACAAAAAAAAAAGAAAAGAAACGCGACGTTACTCGCGATGGCACGCGCGTGTTCCGCTTCGCGTGCGGCTACGGCCGGGGCGCGCCGACCCTTTGCTAAAGTTGGTGGTAAATGGAACAAGCAGGAAAGAGTCAGCGAAGAAATTAGTTCGACTGCTGAACTTTGTCTATACATTCGGCTAAAACAAATCAGAAATTTCACGCAAAGTATACGAATCAGCTCGCGGGATTTTGCCTGAAAACCGAATTAAGACGAAACATAATGAGCAAGAGTGCGAATATATATATATATATATATATATATATATATATATATATATATATATAAAACACTCCCTTCCCTCCCCCCCGCCCAACGAGAACAAACGACGATAAATAATGTATTCACGGACCGAATACACGACAGAATAATATAATCAAGGAATAATACAATGTAAACGTAGTGAACGAGAACCGCATAAACGACTCGTGCGTCAACAAAGACACCGTCCTACGTCTTCGACATTGCGACTAATGCATCAGAGCGGCGATGCAACCCGGGCACGACCCAGTTTTTTTTTCTTTTTCTTTTTTACATCTCTCTCTCTCTCTCTCTCTCCCTCTCTCTC